GGTGAATGCCACAAATTCTCCTAAATCACTCGTACGCACAACTTAAGAACAAATCTGTGCGTACGAACGGTTCTTGCATGAGGCCCATTGTTTTACAAGTCTCAAGTACTCACTCACGCATCTAAGGGTTAAGAAAACATTTTAAAGTTGCACCTCAATTTTGCACAGTTCAAATAAACTAAGCTGCAAACATAGTCTTTCTTAAAACTATGATTTTCTAGTTAATTTGATTGGCTTTGCTGCAGCTTACCCACACACGTACAGACTGTAAAAAAAAAGACAGTCAGCCTTTGTTAATACAGAATGAGTGAAATTAATCAATGGGACCCACTTTATAAATAATCTGTATTCAACTTTATATTTTGGGTAAAAYATCAAGCCTTTTCAAGTAAACAGGTCAAGTCCAATTCAAGTCCCAAGTCATTGGTGTAAAAGTCCAAGTCAAGTCCCATATCTCTGAACATTTTTAAGTCAAGTCTAATATTAATGMCTCGAGTCTGACTCGAGTCCCCACCTCTGCTCAGACTCACCAAAATGCTTTGGATTGGAATGAGTCAATTTGSTGCTCTGGGTAAGAAACCACTGAAAATGCTGCTGAYTCAGGTGACTGCAACTTAACCTGGATCCATAAAGTTCACCAGATTTACCCGCTCTACTACATACGCATGTCACATTATTACATAGGGCTGTACACGATGATGTGGAGCTGGACTAGTCTTTTTTTGAGTGATTCTTTGAAACAATGGCTCAACTAGGTCCAGTTCCTTTCAAAGAGTGGCTCTCAAATCCACACTCCGTCCCAATTGGTTGCAGTAATGCTCTAAACTGTTACAACTGCACTCCTTTGCTTTGCTGGTTGATCTCAGAATAGCCAAGGATTGTGTTTTTGAGTGAAACACGAGACRAAAAATGAATGCAACTCTATTCCTATCGTTCATTTTAAAGAGWCGTTCCAAAGATTCGGTTCATTTATCAACATCACATCTCTAGTTGACAAGGACTTAACTTCTGCTGCATGCGTGAAAAAACTACTGAGGTCACATGTGTCCAGTTCCCAGTGGTGGAGCCTTCAGTCTTGGTGATTGTGAGTCTGCTTATGAACCACTTCTAATCAAGAACCAAACATTTGAATTAAGAGATTAAGTTGTTCTTAATCAGAAAGTTAGAGAAAAAAATTGTGGACAGAGCCAAATTTATAGAACGTCAGTCACCTGTTACCATTCTAAATCTTTTGAGCAATTTTCAGGTTTTTGCAACCATTGTGAGGAACTTAAACTCACTGCTGATGTGCATCACTGATAACACTGCTACATCCTCCCTTCCTTAAAGTGCAAATCCTAATGCTAATTGTTATTCCTGCAGTTTCAGAAGAGTTTCCCTAATGATGTAACTGATCTGCGGGTGCATCTTTACAGCTATAAGACATATTGTGCCAGGCAGCATGAAGGCTTAAATGTTAGCGCTGTTGCCTYGCAGGAAGAAGCTTCTGGGTTCAGTCTTTCTGTGTGGAGTTTGCATGTTCTTTGTATGTTTATGTGAGTTATTTTTCCAAGTACTAGTTTCCTCCCACAGTCCAAAAATATGCATGGTAGACTGCTTTTAGGCCCCTTTTGAAAAACATATCTGTGATCTCAATGGGATTGGCCYGGTTAAATAAATAAGTATTTGTTAAGTGAATTTTTGTGTATTTCCTCTGTTTTATGCAGGATGGAAGGAAGACGCTTGAGAACCAGGTGAAACGGCTGGAGATTGTTGAGCGCCGGGAGACTAAACTCAAAGATGAACTTCAGAGCAAGGCCCAGCAGATACAGCAGATGGCAGATAAGATTCTGGTAAGCCACCTTTCATCTAATACGCGGAGCTAAAATATTCAGAAAAGGTGTGAGATAAACACAGCTCRTTGTCATCATTGCAGAGGCAGTGCAAGAAGTAAAAAATAAAATAAAACCAGTTCAGGTTTGTCTTTTACTTCCTTCACGTGGCGTAAAATGTCAGACCTCAGCCTGACTAAAATGCTGTGCTGGGACCCTAATAGAGCTGTGCAGAAACTAAAGAGGCAGTTTTACAAACCTCAGTGAACTGAGGGGTCCTAATACAGCATGTAGTTCATTTAGTTTTTAGGAAGATCACTGGTTTCTTGAGTTTATGAAGGTAACTTGTTCTGTGTGTTTCTCAGCTGCTTTGTTACTACATGAGGTGTTTAATGGTTCAGAGGATATTTTGTGATGAAACATGATGCAGTCAACACTAATTCATGCTGCTCAGCATGTATAAAGAAAACAAAATAATGATAATGGAAGTTTCCACTTTGATCTCAGGTAAATTTGAAGTTAAAATCTGGTTTTCAGTGTTCTACAATTCATTAAATASAGATTTTATGTTTTGTTAATCCCCAAAAATTTAGTAAAATGCACTTCAAATAGCAGGAAAATGCACAGTTTWAAGTAGATCTTTTACAAACTTTTCAGAGGGGATTTTCCCCATGACCCCCACCCTAGAGCTGCTTCACTCCACAGTTGCTCRTTAACATGAACAGGTGTTGCTCATCACTGTCAGCAGATGTTGGCAGGTGTGAGGTAGACTTCTAGTTTTCTGTTTCAAATAAATTATCTATTTTAATTGGACAACCAGTTTTGTAAAGATAACAAATAATATCAAAGACAAAACTGTTTAGCTGCATATGTGAGATTTTGAAAATTGCAAAATGAGCGCCACCTAAAATCTTGCCTAAGGTGACAAATAGGCTAGGACCGGCCCTGATGACACAACAGTATCTGTTGTGTGTTTTTTGTTCACTTGTGCTTTTATATGCATAAATTTAGAACATGGTAAAGACCAGATCAKTTTTATTACACTATAAAACCCAGATCTAAAAATGGATGTACATTAATTTTCCCATCACTTTATTATGTCGGACATAAAGCCAAAAAGAGAAGAGGTGGGAGTGAAGCCATTGTTGCAGATGATAATGGGTTTCATGAAGTCTCTTACTGACTGCACTGACAAAAACAAAGGCCTGCTAATTTTTCATCCGTAAATGTATGAGTAATACAGCAGCCTGTCAACACTGCTTTGTGAAATGCTTGTCCCCAAGGCATCACACAAAACACACACCTCCTACAGGCACCCAGAATCAAAATGCTCTTGTAAGGTCATATACATAAAATCTCACTATGTTTGCGATTAAAAATGATATAGATAAAATATAACTATAAATTTTGAATGGGTCAGGAGGTACCTTGTGTAAATAATTGATGCTTTATTACAGATGTTATTTGGGAAGTGCTTTTGGCCAGTTTCACTCCATTTGAGCATGGACCTTGATCATGTGTTTGTACTGTAGGAACTGGAGGAGAATCTACGAGAAGCCCAAGCCACAGCCCAGAGGCTCGAGACTCATCTGAAGCAGAAGGAAAAACTCTATGAGGACAAAATAAAGGTTCAGTTCAAGCCAGATTTATACGTTTCTATGAACTTACAGGAAGTTCTTTGTGTTGCGTCTCGGTGGGTCAGATGTGCCGTTAGCTTGGAAGCTCTACACTAAGTCATCTTCGCACCATTCTCTGTCCTGTTAAGTGACATCCTGGTTGTGGTTCTGTGGGCTGGCTGGCGTTGAACAGGTGCTGGAGGCGCAGATGAAGGCGGACATGGCTGATAAGGAGATGCTGGAGTCCAGTCAGAGCAAATATGAGGAGGAGGTGCGGGAGAAGTGCAGCATCATCAGTGAACAGAAGGCGGTAAGAAGTGACCAGGCTTGGAAATGGCTCGGTTTCAGGCGTATTTTAAAATTATTCATACTGACACAGATTTCACATTTGGAGTATTTTTATTGTAGAGCACAAATATGAGCCTTCATCTGATCTCATTTACATCCAGGAAGTGAGAAACTGACTAAATGTCTAATTTGAACATCATTTATTGTCCTCACTTTCTGTTAGACTATTAATGCAATGGACTCAAAGATGAACAGTCTGGAGCAGAGAATCACTGAGCTGTCYGAGGCCAACAAACTGGCAGCCAACAGCAGTATCTACACCCAGAAAAACATGTGAGTACCTGCGCACCAAAAATGCGATTAACTTTGACAGTATTGATCAAAGGTCCTATTTAATTGTTTCAAGTCAAAGCTTTTATTGGTATTCTTCCATAAATGGCACGGCACTAATGWGCAGTAATTGTGTAAATGCTGACTCAGCAGGTCTTTTGTTTTTCCGTACGTTTTTGCAGTCCAGCTTCTTTTGCATCCTTTGTGCTGTTTAGCCATTCATAYATCAAAGTGGTCAGGTCTTCCAGGAGATGTGTGCTGTGATTTAAGGGCTTTACAACTATAATCATTTAAAAAATAATAAGCTGTATTTACTAAACATTTCTGTATAAAGAATTTATTGAGGTCACTTTTTTTCCTTCAGAAACGTTCTCTCTGAAATCTGCTTCAGCTTTATATTTTTTGGCAACCACTCTGTTGCTTTTATATTGTAGCTACACTTTTTTTGCAACTTTTAGCTACTGTTCTGCTACTCATAGCTTTCAGMTTTACTAGCCTTTTAACATTTTTATCAATTCTTTTGATATTTAGTCACCATTATTTCACATTAAGCTACTGATTTTTACTTGAAACTTTTAGCTAGCCYTTTGATACATTTAATTTTAGCTAGCTGTTTGATATATTTAGTAATTAGACATCATTTGCTATCTTAGTTTAGCATCCCAAAGTGCTAGGTTTTAATTAGCCTTTAGATAATTTTAGTTCTCTACACCTTAGTTGCTTTTAGCTTTTAGCTATGTTTTTTTTTTCTACTTTTAGCTGTTAGCCAGCACTCTGTTTTATGGGCTTTAAAAACTCAGTTTAAACAAACGTTAGCAAATGTTAGCAAAGTATTTCACTCTGTCTGTAGTTTCACAGAAAATGTATTATATCTCCTCCACAAACAATCCTTGTAGATGTTAGGATTACTGCAAAGCTTTCTGTTTAGTTAACGCTATATTTGTTCCACATTTAATTTACTGTATTGAAGTAYGGGGTAAAGYTTGTAAAACTATCACAAATCCAATTTTTATTTTACAGAAAAGAGCTATATGAATTATTACTAAAAAAAAAGTTCAGCCATCCATCGAATATATTGTTTCATGATTTGAAATTATTAAAATTTTATGATTTGGTTGATTATAATATTTTACTATTAATGTACAGAGCTCATAAAGGTGTCTTACCTTTCAACATACAAGTAAATTTTGTTAAAAGAGAGAGCTGTTATTATCTTAAGGGGAAAGAAATGTTTCAGAAACCTTGGGTTCGTACGAGCCTGAAGGAGCGATCCACTTTAATCCAGGGAATAAGATTGTGGAACAGCATGAAAGATGAAGTTAAAAATGTCAGATCCTTGTATATATTGAAGAGAATGATAACAACTAATATTCTGAAGAAATATGGAGAATTACAAGTGAATTCATGCTTATTGTTTTTTGAATTGATGTCTATTTATTTTTATTTCATTTTAAATGTTTTAAGTTGTTTTGATTTTTTTGTTGTATTTTTACTTTTCTTTTGAACAAATTTTGGTTATAAAAAAGGGCAGATATTATAAGATTTATTCTTCTTCTTCATCCTTTCATTTTATTTGATTTTATTTTGATTGCATGTTTTTCTGTACTTTGTTAATCTGTGTTACAAATGAAATGACTACTACTACTAGTTGCTTTGCTGAGGTCAGGGTGTGATCTTGCTAGGAAAGCCCAGGAGGAAATGATTTCAGAGCTTCGCCAGCAGAAGTTCTACCTGGAGTCTCAAGCGGGAAAGCTGGAGGCCCAGAATGCCAAACTGGAAGAGCACCTAGAGAAAATGAGCCAACAGGAGCAAAGCCATAAGAGCCGTGTGCTGGAGCTGGAAACTAGACTCCGAGAGGTGAGAGGGGGAACGGAGTTAAAAATGAATTGTTAAACTGTTCCAAGTCCTGAATGGGCTTTAATAAACCTTTATTTCAGGGCTAACAGTTATATCTCAGTATTTTCATTTTGCATCCCACCATCAAGTCATTTTAAGTAAAAATGTGACACATCTGTTCTGAACGTTAATAAAGTGGAACACTCAGTCTGAGCTCATTTAGCTTCAAACAGTAGCTCCACACTTTTTTCTGAATTGTGAGGTTTTAGTGTTATTTTATCCTCAGCATCAAGTGTTTCTGTAATTTTACAACACAAATTATCACTATTGTTGTGACTGTTGTAACAATAAAGACTTTCCCAAAGAACTGATTTAGAGTTGACTGTCAGGACTGTCAGGTGTGATGCTGTGTGACATTTGGGGGATAAGTTAGGTCAGGTCTGTCTGCATAGTTCTGATCCTGTAGAACCCTCTCTGGCGGCCTCTGYAGATTGGGCTGGAGCACGAGGAACAAAAACTGGAGATCAAGCGTCAGGTGACAGAACTGACCCTGTCGCTGCAAGAGCGGGAATCTCAGATTAGCAATCTGCAGGCAGCTCGCCACGCTCTGGAGAGCCAGCTGCAGCAGGCCAAGACTGAGCTGGAGGAGACCACTGCAGAGGCTGAGGAGGAGATCACTGTACTCAGAGTAAGAAGGAGGGGATAACTAAAGAAACACATGTATTAGTTTAAATTTAGCACTGACATCTGTCCTTTTGATATCTTGCACTCTTTTAGGCTCACAGAGAAGAGATACAACGCAAGTATGATGCCCTGAGAGACAGCTGCGCAGTAAGCTGCTCACTTTTTTTTACCCCTTTTTTATTTTCTGCTTTGTCACTCTTTCCAAAAAAAGACCTTTTCCTGGCATTGAATATTGGCTGAATCATCACAGGGAACTTAAAGGCCATATTTCTGCCCATATGTCTCTCTAAGTGTTTTGCACATGGTTTCATTTCAGGACATTTCCAAAACATTTGGTCATTGCTAAACATAAAATTAATTTTCTAAAAACAATTTAAGCAACATTGCAAGATAATCCTCGCTTAAACCACTTTGTGCATTAGCAGGTTAACTAAGCAGGCTTTTATTGCAACAGTTCAAAAAATAAATGGCTTTATTTCAGATAATACTGTTATAATACCCCAAAAGTGGGTTTGTGAGTCTGAGTTGGTGTTATCTGAGGTATGTATTTTACCTTTTATTCATGCTAGATCCTCTGTTTTTGAGAACTAATGTTTAAGAGATTTGAGTGCCGTCAGATTCATATACCATAAGCTAATACCAACAGAATCTCTGCATCTCTTTTATCCACTGTCCTACTTATGAGATCCTCCCACTTACAAACTGTTCAAAATGCAGAGTCCATAGATTCAGCTGGCCAGGGATTGGGCAAACACAGCCAAGTTCCACAACAAAAAGACCTTGAATTTCCACTTTTTTATAACCCGAATGTTGTTGATCTGAATGTCTGTTTATAAGGGATTTAAAACCAATAACAAAATAGAATTTATATAAACTAAACTGTTATTACTGACAAAAGGTCTCCATAAAAGTATTGTAAAAATGTTGGTTGCTGGTTATATGCCTGCATCCAACTAAATGTAAATTAAAGGAAGAATCAAATATTTTTTATTAACTGTTTTAGCACTACACATCCATAATGCCCAGATATCCAAACTGATTTGAGCAAGTGCACACACTTGCTCAAATCATCATACATATACTGTAGATGTATGTACAAGATGTATGTATGTATGTATGTATGTATGTACGTATGAACGTATGTAAGTATGCATGTATGTACGTATGTATGTATGTATGTATGTATGTATGTATGTATGTATGTATGTATGTATGTATGTATGT